TTTGAAAATGTTTAAAAATTAACTGTGAAATCAAGTAATCTATTGTAGAATAGATTAAAGATATAATCTTTACGAGTATATTCTAACTATTCATTAAATTATTAATTTAACGATTAAACAGAACTTTGTCTCACAAGTTCCATTCCCACGCTTGTTAACCTATTTCCAAAGATTTTTTTTTTGAAAAGATGCCAATATTTTGTTCGATGTACAATACGTACAATGTATTCGTTAAATAAGAAAAGATCTATCATTTACTAAGTGCAGTCAATGTCAAAGAATTGTGAACACTGAAGTATTTCTAGTATTTCAATATAAAAATCTGCCGTGATCTCTTTGAAGCAATAATCACAACAAAATTACAATAATATTGCAGACTCGGTTTGACTGAGTCTGATTATGAGGGATAATGGAAAGATGTTACATCCTACACGCACAATGCAAAATTATACCATCATTTGGTAAGGCTTTTCACCAAGCTGATCATATCCAAAATCGTATTTTTCTTGTAATCGAAAAGCACCAGTTTAATTCGAGGGTTTGATGCGAAACAGCTGTAACTCATATCACATAATGAATGAGTTACGTCCCTTTCGCACTGATTCATTGAATACACTGTATGACCGCAATGTCTTAATAACCTGCCGATTCGTAAATACAGTAATTATTGAAAATAAATACAGTTTGAATGATGATAGAAACTCTAGGTGGTTATACTTAAAATGATCGTTTTTTTCCTGTTTCCTTACAGGTTGTGTCTCAACATACAACAGCACATGTTCACAATCATCAGTCATGGAAGGTCTCAGATTTGATGGAACTTTTGGAGGGTGTTACTGCGATGACGTATGCTGTTCAGCCCAAGATTGTTGCTTTGACACCACGTGCTACCAGACTTCCAAAATCTATAATTATGATTACTACTACTATGATGACTATTATGGCTAATACTTAACTCCTACCAGCTGTCAAAGTGCTAGCAATAGACATATGTACTGAAATAAGCATTTTTATTTGGAAAGACAATATTCAAAATTTTCACGAGAACAGAATATAATGCCTATATGTCCGTAAACTAGCATGTCGCGGAGAAAATGTTATATTTGTTTCTCAATATTTACTTTCCATTTCCACTTAGTTCCAATTTTTCTCAACTCTCCCTCTTTCCCATACAGCCCACCCTTGGTTCCTTTAATTCCCGCATCATCCGGTTTTGTATTTTGGATCATTTATTTTTTATCCAAATGTTAATTGTAACAGTTATATGCATGCACCCCTTCTCCACCCTCTTTTTTTCGGTGCCCTACTGGGTGCACTACTAATGTGACTGGACTGTACCGGGGGGGGGGGGGGCACGAACTGAACGTCAACTTTCCTTACTGATCTTTGTTCTCATTTTTTAAGATTACATTTTTTTCTTATTCGCGTATGTTTATGAATATTTTTTGACAAACGAATCTACGTTTCACATTGCCATTGATCAGTTTCTTTCATTTCATTTTCCTGTTAAAGTATGTTCTATTAGATATACTATCAGCTAGTCTATATTGTTATTATTTAGCAAAAAAATAAAAATAAAAAAAATGGATGAATTTATACTTAATGTCTCTTTGCATCTCATCAAAATGAATGAATCATCAGACAAGTATTTCTGATTTCTGTTACATTCCTGAGGTGAAATGTCTTTACTAATATTTCTTTAATTTTAGATATTAGGGTATCTTATACATGTACAAATTATCGTTTTCATTTTGAACACTACACAAAGCTAACTTTTTCTAAAAAACATCAACAGTTCTCCGAGATGTTATTATATTCCTCGGCGGATGGATAGCTTCGATGTCCATAACATATTGCCCCCTGTGTTTTATATATCTTGTATACCTTTTTGTACCTCAATGGGTGCCATAACTTTGATATTATGGGGACTGCGTCCTGTGAACATTGCTGTCCGATAGTGCTCTACAATTCATATTTCAAGAAATTCATTTTTATGTATTCACCTTTTGTGTCTGTAAAACAGTAAAAAACAACGAGAATTTGATTAACATTATGTAGAAACTAATTGCAACATTCAAAGCTCATTCAAACCATCCAAAAATATCGTCTATCTGTCAGAAACAAATGCTTTTGGTGTTTTGTCACTGTTTTCCGAAACAGTACGCACTTGCCGTATAGCTAAACCATCTTTTCCTTTGGACCATTAGTAAAGTTAAAGTGATTCATTATTTTGTATGGAAGACGAAATACCACTTAATTAACGTTCTTCTACTACATGTAATATGACAATTTTTTTCACAAGCATCTAACATTTGTTTTTTATTTGTTTTTATTGGGATTTACGTCACACCGACACAGATTTTGACTTTTAATAGTAGGTCATAATTGCGACGTTCCAAGCTTTATTGGTGGAGGAAGACCTAAAGGTGCCGTTACGGGGTGCCATATTTTTAATTTTTTTTTTCAGGCACGCCGGGTACCTGAAGTAGAACCACCGACGAATCCGTAAGCTAGCTGGATAGGTTTCCCTCAACGTGAAAGAAAAATTCAAACCCAGAGCAAAAACAATTTTTTTATGAGGGGGGGCCACAGTGGTTTGAAAATTCAACGACCTAACCACTCGGCCACGGGACGCGTGGGTTTGAAAGTCAAACGACCTTAAACCAACTCGGCCACGGACGGCGTGGACCGAGTTGTTCAAGGTCGTTGACTTACAAACCACCTGTCCCTCATTGTTTAATAAACAAAATTTCCAAAGGCACACATACAAAACCTTTTTGTCACCAAATACACAAAACCACATGTAAATAGTGGTAAGTTTCCTTTTTATTTCGGAGGATGTATAAAACAGAACTATCTTGCACTTAGCTGCTTAAAATGATCTCATGGTAATTGCTGCTTAAAGTGACATTATGCCCATCCATGAGTAAACGTCGATCGGGTTTAGGTATAAATTGAAATAACTTTACATTTTGTCAAATTTGTTTTCAATTTTATAATAAACGTCACCTAAATAATCAGTTAAACCCGTGACCAATATGGATATCTTAAAATAAACTCCTTTTTAATGTATCGGTACATTCGATTTATAAAAATAGTGGGATGGTCTTTTTATATTTTTACCAATTTTAATAATTTATGCTAAATGTGAGTTATTATCAATTATTGGCTAATGACTATTATCAATTTAACAGTGTAGTCCTTGAAAAGATGAACATTAGTAATGATATATTTCGTGCCCTGAAATACAAAGAAAACCGGGAGGATTTAATAAACAAAGAAAAAGTTCTTATCTGTTTTTTTTACAATATACAAGGGTATATTTGTACAATATTTTATTACATACAATATAAGATAAAAAAATTAATCCAATATACAATAGAGATAGGTACAATATAACGTTTTTATAAAAGCTAAAATAGTAAAAACGAAAAACCCCTGAAGAACGCACAAAACGAGAAAATTGAAAAAATTGCAGGCTCGTATTGTCTGAGCCTGTTCATGGAAAGTACACATTACCGTCCTCGTCCCCTAGCACCGGCTTATGCAGAATTCACATTTAAAGCAAACATCTAAATCACATAATCATATGATCTAAGTCAGATTGCAAGCGTGTTTTTTGATATTGTACATACTCGAAAGTTTTTTGCTCAGAATCTTTGTTTAATTTTTGTATACAGTTTTATTTGCTTTCAAGAGCGATTTCAGAAGAAGCAAATCTAGAAAAAACTTCTACCATTCAAGTCTTACATGTAAAATCGGCATTTGTCAAGTAATGTAGATTTATTATCGTGTTTAAAGTGACATTGTGCCCATTTTCGCTGACAAAGTTGAGTTGGATTAGTAATATGTTGACAATTGTTATGTTGACTGACCAATTATTTATACTAAAAATGTTAATGATTCAATATAAAACAACCGTAATTATAAAAAGACTGTCCCACATTTTTAAAGAATTGAGCGTCACCGATACATAAATTCTGAACGATATTTACATGAATTTTCTTTGGTCACGTGGATTTAATTTCCATTATAAAATACAAGCAATTATCATAGTATTGCAAGCAATCCATAAGTCCCCTACCGGTTAGAACCCCAGCAACATGCTGATGGGCCATTGGCCATTCAATTTTACCAGTGAATGAATGACATGAATGAACTTAAAATCTTTTGAGTTCTAAGTTTGTCTATAACACAGTAATGTGTTAAGTTTCCCTGCCTAGTAAGGAAATTATGTTTATATAACCTTGTCATATTATTACAATGTGGGATTTTAAAGTAAATCCTATCAGGAATGAAGATGTTGGAGTAAAAAATACCAATTTCTCGAAAAAAATCTAAGTTCAAGGGGGACATGATTCTGGAAATAGTCTTGCTAGAGTATTTAACCTTCTCAAAAATGTTGAGTGAAAATAAGAAACATATATTTGAAGTTTGAAGTAGATACAATAGTTAATAAAAAAGTTATTTAAAAAAGACAACATTTTCTCCATAAAAATTCTAAGTTCAAGGGAGGTAATACTGATAATTTTTGTGCTAGAGTTGTAAACCTTGTCACATATGATGTGGTTGATGACCAGAAACTTATATTTATAGTTTGAAGTAAACACCTTAAGAAATAAAGAACTTATAGTGAAAAAGCTGAAAAATTTAAATAAGGAATCTTGAAATTCAGGCTATTTGTTTCCATAGCAACCAGAATTTTCAACATAGGAAGAAAAGAAAAAGATGTGCATAATCTCCAGACTGCCATCTACTCATATTTCAAGTTTCATAAAAATATTTTCAGTACTTTTATTTTTATCACTGGATCAAGTTTATGTGTTAAATTTGCCATATTTTCAGACGATTTGTTGCCATAGCAACCATAATTTTCAACATAGGAAGAAAAGAAAAAGACGTGCATAATTTCCATACTGCTATCTATCCATATATCAAGTTTCATAAAAATATTTTCAGTTCTTTTTGCGTTATCGCGGGATCCAGTTTTGTGAAAGGACGGAGTGACGGACTGACAGACAGACAGACAGACAGACAGACGGACAGACAGACAGACGGACGGAGGGTAATCCTAAAGTCCCCTCCGGTTAAACCGGTAGGGGACTAATAAAGTTAAACCCAATTATGGCAATATGTCAAGTTATTCACGGACCATTAAACTTGGATGGGCAAAATGTCCCTTCATTTCAAGTTAAAGTGTCAATCCCGTTTCTCTAAATTAATTGACAATTTGTGATTCTCCATCAACAACAACAACAACAACAACACCAAACCCAAAACCAAAAAAAAAACCCAATATATTATCGTTTAGAACAAACTTCAAGGATATATTCAAAGTTTCAAGTTTCACACAACTAATGTAATACTAGTAGTTTGAATCATTCTGTCCATGTGTGCTCAGTTATGACAAAATACATGTACATTTGTACTAGCAATAATTCACATGGTTATAATAGTTCTAATTAATATTTTTCCTAGAATATTTGCATGCTACTTTATAGCAACTAAATAGCAATAGAATTTGGGACACGCTTTGGATTAAGAGCCCAGTACTTTTCAATTTTTCTGTCCTTATTGTTTTTCTCTTTGTTTACCTGCGCTATTTTTGCAAGGTCTGCTTTGAACTCATCAAGAATCTTAAGCGCTTTGACATCAGTTATATACTGAACTTCAAAGTTCCCTAGCGCATGCGTGTTGTCAGTGCTCAGTGTGTCTGTTATGACCAGCATGTCGTACGTTGTTACTTTTTGTGGAAGATGTTGCATAAGATTCTCCTCTTTCAGTTTGTCTTTTGTTTTTGGTGGAATTCCCCGTAAGGTTATCGGAAAATTTGGTGGGAAGGCGTATTCCTCATACTGCCGGAAGTTGACAGCTGCGTGTTTAGCACTGCACGTAAAAATGATGCTTGTCAATGTAAGGCAAACTTGATTTTTCTCAGTAAATTTGTCATCTTTTCCAAATACACCGAGCATACCAAGACCTTGTTCATCAACTGGAGCAACCATTTCCTTCCTCCATTGCTGAAGCTCTTCGTCATTCAGAACTTCCTTATCCGAGGCGTAGTAAAGATTAATGTATTTCTGTACATATTTTAAAATTGCGTTGTAAATCTCCATCGCATCGTCTCGGTAGTAAAAATCGGGCAAACAAGAAGAGCCATCTAAACCGCGTTCTTTTATGTCATTCGGCAGTGTACCGTCAACATCCAATCGCCAGCTTTTATTTTTCCGCTTGATCAGTTCAGTCGCTCCATCTCTTCCAATATTCAGCAGCTCTACAATATATCCGTTCTTGCCTAGTAGCAATGGAATTCCCGTCCAGTTTATGCCAATAAGGTAAAGGAAATGGGGCATCAGTAGCTTATAGATCGGATGTGTTTTGTACATTTGCCTGTGTGTTATCGCAACGACTCCTTCCATCTTCAAATGAGTAAATCCAAGATGTGTGACGGATTCGTGATAGTTGGCATCTGCGACGTTGAACCACATCTTAGCTAGAATCCATGTATATTCAGGATCACTCGGCAGAAACACAGGGTTATCGACACCTGGCTTCTGAAATAGTTGGATAGCGATCGGTATAAGAGTACCATCATTTTGTTGATAAAAAAGCGCAATGGGACTGGTCATGGTAAAGCCCGACTTTATTGGTAAACCATCCATTATCTCATAATCTATTATGAAAAGTGGGAGAAAATAAATGCAGCAATTATTTAACTTTACAATAGTTTTGGAAATGCAATTTCTTTATTAATACATTTACCCAGTAAGGAGAAAATACCTTTATTTGAACTCTTTTGTGGCAGTGATACATCATTTGTTCTGAACTTGTACGTTTGGTCACATTTTATGTTGGTGAATACTGGAAATACTGATTTAGCTCCTGTCTTTTTGTTAGTTGTTGTGATTCTGTCAATTTTCCACCCTTTCTCACCAATCATTGTACCACCACGGATCTCGATCTCATCAATCACGTCAAGCTGTAAAATCAATTTTAATAACATAAAGATTATATACTATCAACATAAGTCAACAAATTCATGCTGAACCATTCTCAGTGTCTTTTAAGGAGGGAAAAGCTGCCAAATATCTTCTTTATCATACCATTTTTATCATACCATTTAGGCTGTGGAAGCAGAACTATATTTTTACACTTATATGATTATAAGAATTTTATATAAACATCAAATTACAAATGAATGATGCGCAAGTCATTTGTATCTCCATCCTAGAGAAGAGCGGGAGCTTTGACTTTTGAATGATCATATACCCCCTGTAAAATCCTCTTTGCCCATCAGGGACAGTGAGTTTGAAGATCACGCACGAAATAGCACTGTACTGCAAGATGAACAGTTAATCTTCCGCTAATTTGGAGCCAAATCAAAACCGTCGCATTGAATTTGCAGTGTGGTGACAGATTAATTGTAATAACTTGGTTCATTTATCTCTCCTGTTATGGCCCGTGGATTGGGAGAGCTGAGAGACGAATTAGTTTATAATGGCGCTTTGGTATTGTGAGACATGAACACAAAACTATTTTGATACACACAAAACTGGTTTTTATACGTCATCATTACATTTAGCGCAGATGTTGCTTTCATTACAACAACTTGTAACATTATAGGACACGTTTTTACCCACTTCAAAGAAAATGAACGAATAAACTATATAAACTATATAGAAATAAGTATTGTTCTCCTAGGAGAACCAAACCTATAAAAAAAAACACATATGCAACATCGACATCTACTTCGGGGGAGATAGCAACCAGTAATAATACTTCAACACGGCAAACATTTACCTTTGGTTCAACCACATCGAATGTAGTAATAAAGCCTCTTTCAAAGTTGTCAGGAAAGTGAGCTACAGCAAACTCTTCTTCGTCACCCTCTTTGCCATTGCCTCGAAACCTGATATTTATTATACCCCTGCATGCACCTAGCGGCTTATCGCCAGCCTCAATGTCAAGTGTGTATTCATGTTCCTTTTTAATTGTCACTTTTGATAAACTCTTCATCCTGCAAGACATGAAATAGGTATTATGTTATGAAATGTCTGTCCTGTAAGCTCAAAAGGGAACCTATCGATAAAATCGATAACATTAATCAAAAGCTGGGCGAGGTGTAATTTCTTTGTGACAATTGATTTAAGATACTGATTCCAACTTAGCCACTGATTCAGAAATTATGTGGAATTAGAAGTCGGTCACTCGCGGAGAAATTGGTAATTGGTAGTTTGTTATTCAGAGTACTTTTTATGACTTAGAGGATATTTGTTTATTTTTGTGAGGTTTAAAAACGGTATAAGAGAAGACTATTTTTGATGTTCACGAGATGAAATAAAAATAACATACGAAAGCCAAATAATGTCAAATAAAAAAATCAAAATGCAAAGGCGTTATAACGCGAATCAAAAGGCGTTATTACGCGAATCAAAAGGCGTAATTACGCAAATCAAAAGGCTTAATAACGCGAAAAATGGCGTAGAAACGCAAATAAAGGCGAAGTGACGCGAATAAAGGCGTTAAAACGTGATTCAAAAGGCGTAATAACGCAAATAAAGGCGTTATAACGCAAATCAAATGGCGTAATTACGCGAATAAAGGCGTTATAACACAAATCAAAAGGCGTAATAACGCAAATCAAAAGGCGTAGTAACGCGAATAAAGGCGTAGAAACGCGAAACAAAAGGCGTAATAACGCAAATCAAAAGGCGTAGTAACGCGAATAAAGGCGTAGTAACGCGAACCAAAAGGCGTAATAACGCGAATAAAGGCGTTATAACGCGAATCAAAAGGCGTAGTAACGCGAATAAAGGCGTAGTAACGCGAACCAAAAGGCGTAATAACGCAAATCAAAAGGCGTAGTAACGCGAAACAAAAGGCGTAATAACGCAAATCAAAAGGCGTAGTAACGCGAATAAAGGCGTAGTAACGCGAACCAAAAGGCGTAATAACGCAAATTAAAACGCATTATAATGCCAATTTTATACCATATTTATACTTATCAAATGGCCTAGTAACGTGAGAAAGGAAGAACAATATTGATCTGAATTTATTGCTCAAGATATAAACTCGTATAGAATAATATAATATACATTTACAATAACTATCATTCCATTTGCGCAGTAATATTGCAAACCATTTGTAATTAACTAATGAAGACTCTTTGATATTTGTCAATATAAAGTGACTTGGAGACGTAAAGGTCCATTGGGTTATATGTCAATACAGTTACTCTGAATTCACATGTATCACATCATTGATTTTACACATGTCACTATAGTAAATGAATTTCTTTTCTTTTCTTATCTTATCTTATATCTTATCTTATCTTATATATGCGTCATATGTTCAATTATCTTCGTATATATCCTGTTTGATTACCTTATAACCTCTAGTATATTTTAATTATGTGAATATCGTTCCTAATTACGCTATAGGTAATTGGCTATAGGTAACAAGATTTGGAAAAACGTAAGGTATCCGTCAGTCACATTAGGGTGAAAGTATCTCTAATTATTGATAGATATGCTTAGAGGGGTTAAAGTGTTTCTGTTAAATCATTGGAGACATTGTCTTCTTTGTCTTTATCGAAAAGTATCTATAGTTGGGTGATAGTAACCTCTAATCTCACGAAAGCATTTCCTAATAAAAGATAAAAAAATTAGACTGTGGCCTTAGGACGTATCCGTACAGAATTGAAAATAAAACGTACATCTTGATCAATTCATTTAAATCAACATTGTTCTTCCTAGCTTACATCACAAGGCAACGGTTTGGAATTTATATGGTATTAAATTAGCGTTAAAACGCCTTTCGTTTTGCGTTATTATACCTTTTGGTTCGCAATATTACGCCTTTATGTTCGCGTTATGACGCCTTTATTCACGTTATAACGCCTTTTGATTCGCGTTATTATGCCCTTTGTTTAGCGATATAACGCGAATAAAGGCGTTATAATGCGAATTAAAAGGCGTTATAACGCGAAACAAAGTCGTTATTACGCTAATCCAAAGGCGTAATTACGCGAATCCAAAGGCGTTTTTTCGTGAATAAAGGCGTTATAACGCGAATAAAGAAGGTTTAACGCGAATCAAAAGGCGTAATAACGTGAATAAAGACGTAATAACGCAAATCAAGTGGCGTAGTAACGCCTTATTCGCGTTATAACGCGAAACAAAAGGCGTAGTAAAGGCGTTATAACGCGAATTGAAAGGCGTTATAACGCAGATAAAGGCGTTATAACGCGAATCAAAAGGCGTAATAACGCCTTTATTCGCGTTATAACGCGAAACAAAAGGCGTCATTACGCGAATCAAAGGCATAATAACGCGAATAAAGGCGTTATAACGCGAATGAAAAGGCGTAATAACGTGAATAAAGGCGTTAGAACGCGAATCAAAAGGCGTAATAACGCGAACCAAAAGGCGTAATAACGCGAACCAAAAGGCGTTATAACGCTAATTTAATACAATATAAATTCCAAACAGTGGCCTAGTAATGTAAGATAGGAAGGACAATGTTGATCTTAATGAATCGATCAAGACGTACGTTTTATTTTCAATTCTGTACGGATACGTCCTAAGGCCACAGTCTGATTTTTTTAATCTTTTATTAGGAAATGCTATCGTGAGATTAGAGGTTAACTTTCAACCAACTATAGGTTCTTTTCTACTTAGACAAAGAAGGCAATGTCTCCTACAATTGTGACTTAACTTAAACACTATCCCCCATTTAAACATACATATCAATAAATACCCTAATGCGACTAACTTATACCTTACGTTTTCCAAATCTTGTTACCTATAGCCTTTTACCTATAGCTTAATTAGGAATGGCATTCACATAATTAGAAGATACTAGAGGTTATAAGGTAATCAAACAGGATATATCCGAAGATAATTGAACATATGACGCATATATAAGATAAGATAAGATATAAAATAAGATAAGAAAAGAAAAGAAATGCCATGTGTAAAATCAATGATGTGATACATGTGATTTCAGAGTAACTTTATTTACGCCCAGTCCAATGGACCTATAAGGCACCAAGTCACCTTATATTGGCAAATATTAAAGAGTCTTCATTAGTTTATGACAAATAGTTTTCATTATTACTGCGCAAATGGAATGTTAGTTATTGTAAATGTATATTATATTATTCTATACGAGTTTATATCTTGAGAAATAAATTCAGATCAACATTGGTCTTCCTTTCTCACGTTACTAGGCCATTTGATTAGTATAAATATGGTATTAAATTGGCATTATAATACGTTTTAATTTGCGTTATTATGCTTTTTGGTTTCGCGTTACTACGCCTTTATTCGCGTTACTACGCCTTTTGATTTGCGTAATTACGCCTTTTGTTTCGCGTTATAATGCAAATAAAGCGTAATTACGCCTTTTAATTCGTGTTATAACGCCTTTATTCGCGTTATTACGCCTTTTGATTCGCGTTATTACGCTTTTTGATTCGCGTGATAACGCCTTTATTCGCGTTATTACGCCATTTGATTCGCGTTATAACACCTTTGTTTGCGTTATTACGCTTTTTGATTCGCGTTATAACGCCTTTATTCGCGTTACTTCGCCTTTATTTGCGTTGCTTCGCCTTTTTTTCGCGTTATTACGCCTTTTTATTTCCGTTACTACGCCTTTTGATTCGCGTTATAACGCCTTTATTCGCGTTTTTACGCTTTTTGATTTGCGTGATAACGCCTTTATTCGCGTTATTACGCCTTTTGATTTGCGTTATAACGCCTTTGTTCGCGTTATTACGCTTTTTGATTCGCGTTAAAACGCCTTTATTTGCGTTACTTCGCCTCTATTTGCGTTGCTACGCCTTTTTTCGCGTCATTACGCCTTTTGATTTGCGTAATTACGCCTTTTGATTCGCGTTATAACGCCTTTATTCGTGTTATTACGCATTTTGATTCGCGTAATAACGCCTTTATTCGCGTTATAACGCCTTTGCATTTTTATTTTTATTTCATTTGACACTATTAGGCTTTCGTAATAACATCTTACACAACAAACAAACAAATTTTCTTTTAATTTGTTATAATAAAAAAGTCAACGTAAAATGGCAATTGTATCATTTATTTTATATATAAAAAAGAATTATCCCTTGTTTTTTGATAATTAAAACAAACAATTCTAGAAGATGAAAATGTTACACCATACTAATGTTACGATATCAAAATATTTCCAAATGCCATCAAGAGCAGTTTTGTATATGGAAAGAAGAGTTCTGATGTTGCTTTTCGGTCCCGTGTTCAGAGTGCTTTCTGTTCCTATTGAAAAGTAACTTACTAATGGCTAACACCCATATGTATATTGCTTTTCAGGCTTTGTATGACAAATGATTACAATATTGAAATTGTAGCAAGACACTTACAACATAATTAGCTTTTTTAGAAATAAAATGGTTAGCGTTTCTGAGGCATAATGGGCCTTTAATACATATATCGTATCATAAATTGTTATTGCATTCAACGTCAAAATAAAGTTTTAAACAGTCTTTGTCATTAAACACAGATTTTGATCATGTAGAAAATATTAAATAATAAGTGAATCAATAATTTAAAAAAAAACCAACAATTTTCAATGAAAGACGCGATGATATTGTTATGAAAAAAAAAATCAGAAATTAAAAACGCTATTTGGTGATCAGTAAAATGAATAAATTGAAGTAAGTTTAATCGTTTTGATTTTTTTTTTTGAAATTTAAGTTGTTTATCAATATCAGCTTTGCTCTGCTCAAAACAAAAGTCAAAGTCAAATAGTTTATTGGCATAAACATTTTACACGTTCATTGCCCAGTTTTATGAATGGCGGTTTATAATTTAACATTGTACATAGAAGTACATTCCTTAATTTTGTAAATAAATATATGTACAAAACATACATAATAAGTACAAAAAAAGTATAATGATGAATTTGAAATAGAATTTCAAAACAGGGAAAAACATTGTTTTTTTTTATTAGAAAAGATAATTCTTAACAGGAAACAATACAGTATTTCTTTTTTTTCTCCAAAAGATAAGTTAATATATTTAGCTATATTTAGCTAATTTTATCATTACGTTTTTCAAAGAAGAAATCAAAATTACCAAATTCTCCATAAACGACAATATTACGAACTCCTAAAATCTGTTTGATAAACTCGCTCTAAGTCTATGTGATGAAATCCCCAGATTTCACATCCATATGTCAATATTGGTAAAACCATTGATTCAAAAAGTGCTTTTGTCGTTTATATTAATTGAATTTGATAATAGCTTCCATTTGCTGATAATGTAACACCTAAATAAGTATTTTTATGTACAACCTTATTTTGTCATTATAGTATAAGAACTGAACATTATCATTCCTGTTGCCGGTATTGAAAACCATTTTAAAAGTCGTATCAACTTAAACAGTAAGTCCCCGTTACAATATTAGTTTAATTTGTTAAGAAGTATTTGTAAATATGAAAATAACAGACTTGATTTTGCCAGATTTGTAAGCGAAAATAAAAGTGTGGTACCACATGGAGAAAAAAAATAGAAAAAAAATAATAAAGAAAGATCTTCTTCACCTTAAAAGATAAATCTGCCTTTTTGAATGAATACATTGAATGTAAAATAAGAATTTAATTATATCTAAAACGTATTTTATGCATTTATAAGATCTGTTTAAAGTTTCAAACTTGTATACTATATTTGAAATAAACGCGTAAGTTATTTTTCTTCAACGCGTATAAATGAAATTCATTTATCGGTTAAAAATTCTGAAAACATGTACCACTAATATTTTCGAAATTTTAAATAAATTATAGAAAGAAAATAAAACATACCTTGCGGGCTGACACGTGGTACTCAGATATTAGTATACTCTCTATCTTATATAGCGCACAAATTATCAGAAGTTGTATATCATACAAATATATAAGAAGCATCAAGCGAATTGAAATGTCTTTCCCCACCAGGTCAACCTCTTTTATACGGGGGTAATGTACGAGGGTTGGTGAAAAATATCGCGGTAAGATGCTTCCTATTTCATTTCTTAAAATATGATATTCATGAAAATTATACTGAGTCGAGATTAATTTCATACAAGCATTTATCATTCTTTGCTCAATTTACTCATTTGATTACAAAATTACACGCCCTTTAGAAAAGTACCCATCTAAAGAAAACATTTTTAAGGTTGACGCCAACAAAATAATTTATGTCGACTTAAACTATGGGCGTGTGAACAAATCTGCGGTTATTTCCAAATCCTTAATTTAAACGTTGAAATCTGGTGTTACCGGACATTCCGAGACTGCTATATGATAATTGGAATATAAATAACAACAAAATTTAAAGAACCAAGATTACCATAAACACACCATGCATGTCATGCTGTTTGATCTTACGTGTGGACGTATGGAAATACTTTTTACGACAAACAGACGACACAAACAACGCTGATGTGAGAATGAGAAGCGTTAATTGAAACTATTGCAAGAACTTGTTCCTGTACAACAGTGCTTAATGCAATTTACCTTACATGACTCGTACAGTCGAATAGTTTAATATGAAAATGTCGTTATTTAGAAATTACAATGTAGTTAAACCGCAAACGTGTTTCTTACGGCGGCAAGAAACTTCTTGACTTATAAAGAATGATAACACTCATCTTTCAAGGCTGGCGATATTGATCGCTGGTACAATTTTCATTTGATTTTAGCAATCGTTGATAACCATGGGAGAACAATACTTCCGATTATGACTCGATTTTTGTAATATGTATATGTTTATTATGTATTCCTTTTTTTTAGACTTAGTCAACAGTTACAGGGATATTACTGTCAGAATTTGTCTTGTCTTACGTTGTGACGGTCAATAAATTAGGTAGCACACGTATCCACAAACATTTTGATCACCCCTGAGGTTTTATGTTGCACAAATAGTAAAATACTTATATTATATATTCAAAATAAGCTAACATGAATGGAATTTTAAAAAGCCGGGGATTTTTGGTTGTAATTTAAAATTTGGCAGACATCAGGAAGTCAAAATACCGGTATATTATTACCTTTTTACACTACTACCGTCGCAATTCCCATTGCCATTTCTGTAACTTGATCAGTTTAATGTAACAATAACCAAATTAATTGTAGGAGCGATATTTAAAACTTCATATCATTTACAGGGTTGCACCATTTTATTATTTATAAAAAGCGAGTGATTATCAGTTTTAACCGACGTTTTACATTTCTGCTGTCCCAAACACATTATCATTATCCATAGCGGAATAAATGCAGAGCAAATCGCACACGTAAATCGGCGTTATTTCCTGCATTTAAATATGGTAAAATCAATGGCATTTGCTGCATTATTATCGGTAAACATTCAGCTTATGAAATATTTTTGTATTTATAGAAAATTTTCAGGTACATTCAACTTATTTCAATAATAATTTAGCAATATGATTACAGTTTTGTCCATAACAGTGGATAGAGCTTTTTGAAACGCTTCCCCCTTCGTTTAACGATTTAGTATTATTTTGCCCATATTATTTTACAAATGAAAAATCAGTCTTTGATTAACTTGATCCAACTTTCTGTTATTTGTTTCTGTTATAAGCAAATGATCTGTCTGATCTGCTGCTATAGCTGATTATTGTTTCATTTTAAGGTTCCAAAAGAATAAAGATTTAAAGGGACACATGTTTTTTTTGCATGACAGGACTTGAAATAGTTTTAAGGGATTAATGTTCCGTTTGATGTAGGCATTGACCAGTAACTTGTGCGCGAAATTTCAGATCATTTGCTCGCTTCGTTTTTCCAGAATAATTATACTAAATGTGTAAAATGACCCATGATTACAGAAAACGTTTTAATGCTTTCCACTCCAATCGGAGTATATATCTTTATTACTTTTCATTTTAATTGCCTCCTGCTGATTTATGTATGAAAATCAAAATGTTTGTTTTAGGTTTTTGGACTTGAGTTGAATCTATCTAAAGGATCTCAACTGAGGTCTAATATCCTAAATCATAAAGTTTGAAGTTCATAAATCAACAGATGCGCTTAAAATGGAAAATAATACTATAAATAATGTATATGTATATTTGTTAAAAAAAGTTGATCGATTTTTAATGCAGTCTTGCAGTCGATTTGAGTGAAAAGCGTTTCAACGCTTTTCAATTTGGGGTCAATTTGTGCAATAAATTTGATTATCCCTAGAAAGCGGAGTGAGCGAATGATATAAAATTTTGTACACGAGTTATTGGTTCACACCTACATAAAATTTTAAAATATATATATTCGGTCCCGTCATGTCAAAAAAAAACTCAATGGAGTCCCTTTAAAACATTATTTCATTTGCAAGTATCCAAGTATTTATCTATATAAGCAATGAAATTGACTGTTACCTGAATAAATTATGTTGATTTGACTGTTTAAATGGAGATAATGAAGACACTCAAAATATAAAGATGCAAATTTACCAAATCGGTATTCAACCTCATAATATCAGTGACACTGAAGGACCAGAAGAAACACAACAACATCTTTCAAGGAAAGAATAAAGGGCAGTGAAACAGCAGTGGCACTTATACTGCGAGTGTTTTATACAGCAATTTACACAACTATTATCACTGTAGTATTTTCATTTGACAGTATTGATAAATGAACATTTCATGCCGTTTCTGTCCTCCTTTATTTTAAGTAAGTTTAATCATACAATTTTACTATATTGTACAATTTTACTAAAAAACGTTTTACATGCAACATAAAGGGAACATTAAATACAAAACAAAATACAGCGAATACAGAAAAGGAAACTTGTATGTTAATAGTATGAAACAAAAAGTATTTGATAATACTAATGAGGGCTTTCCTAGATATAATGTCGTAAAAAATAACATATTTATAAGACATAAATAAACCGTTTGTAACTTCATTTTCACTATTACTATTTAAGCAAATTGATGGTTTTTTTTCTTTTACGAAATCATAGAGAACAGAAAATATTTTACAGTATGCGAGATGCAGTTATAAACTATAATAAACTATATACACTTGCCCTTACCTAATTATAATAAATTAACATATTTTGAATTTTACATAAAATATTGTCTTCTCACAATAATAAAGTTCTTTTTACCCCAGCATATTAATAACATTTTTTTCTCATTTCATTGCGTGTCGGCTACTCCTTAAAATTGTCTTTCAATTTAAAATAAGTCAATATATTCCCCTAGAAAGTAATGTTACACCGTTAAAGAATTTGGAAAATCAGGAAGTTGTAAAAAAAAGTATTCCCCTTCTCTTTTGTATGAGAACATCGCACGATATAGTACTTTAATAACATACTAAGGTTCTTTCAGTGTGTTTACTTCAATAAAATGAATTTCTACTTTTTTAGATTTCCTTTTTTAGATTTTGATTACTTATTTGAATACAAATTGAATATTGTCAAAGTTCATGATTTTTTTATCATATGTTTATATAAGAGAGCTTGACAACTTCCTAGTAACGGATATACAGGCCAAATAAGGCTGATAACAAGTTGACATTTTAACGCTAGCTGTACTGGATACACTTTTAAAATAGTTGTTTTATTTTCTTCTTCTTTTTTTTTAAATCTTTGTGATCAGATGATAAAATAAGACCTTGATAATTTCAAAGATAATGTTCAAGATAATCTTTAATGTGGCATTTAAATTTAGGTAAGGTGGGAGGTGGGCGTCCGTGGTCGAGTGGTTGAGGTCGTTGACTTCAAACCACTTGCCCCTCACCGCTGTGGGTTCAAATCCCGACAGAGACTTTGGACTATTCCATGTGAGGAAGCTATCCATCTAGCTTACGGAACGTCGTGGTTCTACTCAGGTGCCCGTTCGTGCCTGAAATAATGCACAGAAGGGCATCTGAGGTCTTCCTCTACCAGTAAAGTTGGAACGTCGCCATATGACCTATACTGTGTCGGTGTGACGTAAAATCCAATTTAAAACAAACAAACAAACAAACAAACAAAGGTAAAGGGGGAACCCCTCGAGCGCATTTAAAACCAAAATTTATTGGAGTAAATTGTAGACTCGATTTTGATCGTGTTCTAGTGAAACAATGAAAACGAAACACTTCGTGTCATTTAGCAGCAGCTAACATTTTCACAATACACTAAAATGATACTCAAAAAACTAGAGTCAATGATGGTGAAATATTATATGACTATTATAACATCACTGCGGCGCCACATTTTCCGACGTTATCGCGAAGCACAATTCACGTATATCGGCGTTACCTTATAAAAACGGCTTGAATCACATTTTATAAGTTTATTTTCAATTTTCTATATCACAAGGAGTTAGGTTTATGTCACTGGCCTACCAAAAATCGAAATTATACGAAATATTATGCATTGTTGTACTTATAAGAGCCGACAAAAAATCCAAAATCTCGTTTCGAACGGTGGGTCAAGCCATTCACATTTCACGAAAAATGATCTAGAGAAAAGTAAACAATTTTGTGGGAAATAATCTTGATGAGGGATAAAGAGTTATGTCTTCGCAGCCACCGTATGCGGCTCTATTGATTTTTTTCAGTTCGTTAAATAAAAAGATATTGGTCAGTTTCTTACCGCGCCCCCCCTGGAAATTCCTGCCAGTGTATCCGCCATTTATTGCACAATTCTGCGTTACTTATTGCATGAATCGTGCGTTATTTTCACATTTCCGGCGTTACTGATATACACGGTGGCTTTTAGCATTTATTTGAACCTTGCGTAGTAGTATAACGTCTACCCAGTCATTAAACAAAAGTATGGCAGGTATGGCCCGATGTTCCAAACGAGTAGTAAACTTTCATATCGCTTGAAAATTTTATTACTGTTTAAAAAGTAACAGGTAATGCGTACATAGCAACATTTGTGTTTATATGTTTACAAGGAAAAGAATAATCATTCAAAGTGTCATTATGCTCATTTTTCATTGTCAAAAAAAAAACTGCATTGACTATATATTTCAAAAGATTGACTATTATAATGGTAAATTGAACAATAATTGATATTGCAAAAAGTTTAAGCTAAAA